AAGTTTGAACTAAGCAGAAATACTATGAACAACTATCTAAGATTTAAAGGAAAACTTTCTTTTGTTTCTTTGAAAGAGTTAAAAATCAAGGAACTTTCTTTAATGATTTATTCATTCAGTTCCATAGATGTATCACTATATATACTTTTTTTCCTTTAGATTTATAATATATAACTTCAAATATGTTCACTTTCTATAAAAGTCAGGTCAACATTTTTTTCAACATTTAGGATTCTGAATTTTGGAATATTGATGATTGTGAGATATTGTTTCTGCTTCCGTGACAATGCACACATTATAGCCCATCCAGAAGGCCTCTTCTATGCTATTCAATACTTAACCTGATTATCTTTCAAGGGTCCGAAAGAAGTTACCTGTTGTGAAGCTTCCCTCAATTCCTCTAAATAATTATCCTACTTTTCTTCTTTGCTCCGATTATACTTCTTTCATAGTGACAATTACACTGCAATTATTTTTCTCATTTATCCACTCACAGGATAAGAGGCCCATAAGATACAAGAATGAGGAGATATTCTTTGTTTCTGTGTCAACTTCATACCAACTGTCTCTCTCAATAAACATCTGAATGAATGAATGAATGAATGAATGAATGATCAACAGAGTCAGATTCCATTATGAGGTTCATGATCTCCTCCAATATGACATCTGGTAAGGAAGAAAAATTGTAGGAAATGCTAGTCTCTTGAAAGGCAGAAGAACTGAAGCAGTCAGTCTTTAAAACAGAAGGCAGAATTAACAATTAACCCCAGATGGGCTGTGCATATTAAATTAAGATGAGATGTTGTTAGATATTAAAAGCTACACAGAAAGGGCAGCCATGGTAACTTGCTTTATTTCAAGTTTCCTCTCACTATCACATCCTAAAGCATTCTAACAATTTTGAGTCAATGGTATAGATTACAGAACAAGAGAATTTTACAAGAAGATATAAAATTATTTTAGAATACTCTAGATCAGTGTTTCTCAATCTTCATGTACACAAGAATCCCATTAGGATCCTTGTTAAAAATATAAATGATCATGTTCAGTAGGTCTAGTTGGGGTCTGAGATTCTGCATACCTATTCAAGCTCCCAGAGGAAGTCTGATGCCAATCCATGGGACACACTTTAAAGGGCACTTTTAGAATAAGAGACAATTTCCTTCAAAGTCCATGTTAGACTTGTCTTGGGTTTTAACTGTTAAACCCTTATCAATAATCCTTGCTATAAGCTGTCTTAATGGTATTCATTATATAAATCATTACTGAAAATTCCACTAAAAGAAATACATATTACTGAAAAGCTTTTAAATTTCTTTCTTACCTATACTCTGGTAATGCCATCGAAAGAAAATTCGCTCAGGTAGAAACTGCAGTATTTTCTATAAAATAAAAAAATAAAGTATAAAGAAAATAAACCATGAAATTTTGTATTCTTGTGTTAAGCCTATATTACCTGCTATTTTTAAGTTTCAGAAAAGAAAAGGAAAAGTATTTAACATAAATATTGCACTTTGTTCCATATTTCTATGGGAGTTTCTTTTACTTGCCCTAGGCAAGTTTCTTTCTCTGAATGTTTTAAGAGACTATTATCCCATGTTTAACTCCCCAACAAGGTCAAAGAAAAAAAACTTAATAACTCTGTCTTTATTAAATGACAGTCAGAGCTTAAATATTAAAAGAATATTTTCCCAAATGACAGAATTCCCAAGTTTCTTCTTTTTCACCTTCTCCTTCTCATTTTCATCATAATTATCATTAGTCAAAAACAGAGCTAGGAAGAAAGAGGAACAAAAAGAAGATAAAAAAATAATTCAGTAGAAGAAAAACTGAAACTGGTGGCAAGAATTTCATGATATTAACAGCATAAAAATAAGTCTTTGCATCATAGTTATGCATGTCCTCATTGGTAGATAAAGAAAAAAATCTATGATATACACAATTATTTGGCCATTAAAAGTAGCTCCCCATTCCCCCCAAATCCCTAACTAATGAGAATAACTTTTTCCCTCATTCCACAACAAATTTTGTCAAATTATTCTAGAGTAATAAAAGTCCTTGTTCTTTAGCTGTAACTACTTTTCTAAAAATATAGAAAATCCAAAACTGGTCAAAATACCTTCCTTGGTATTGATAATACATTTCTATTTTACTCTGAAATTAGTAGAGAAAACTAAAAAAGGTACTCTCGTACTTTGCTGGTGGGACTGCAAATTGGTGCAACCACTCTGAAAGCAGTATGGAGATTCCTCAGAAAACTTGGAATGGAACCACCATTTGACCCAGTTATCCCACTCCTTGTCATATAGCCAAAGGACTTAAAATCAGCGTACTGACCACATCAATGTTTATAGCAGCTCAATTCACAATAGCTAAGCTATGGAACCAACCTAGGTGCCCTTCAACAGATGAGGGGATAAAGAAAATGTGGAACAATGAAATATTACTTGGCCATAAAGAAGAATGAAATTATGGCATTTGCCAGTATATGGATGAAACCGGAGACTATCATGCTAAATGAAATAAGCCGATCCCAAAAAAACAAAGGCCAAATTTTCTGATATGTGGATGCTAACACACAACAAGCGGAAGAGTAGGAAGAACATTAAGTTCAATAGATAGACAAAGGGGAAGAAAGGGAAGGGAGGAGTGATAGGAACAGGAAAGACAGTAGAATAACTGGACGTAACTTTCCTATGTTCTTATATGAATACACAATTAGTGTAACTCCACATCATATACAACCACAAAAATGGAAAATTATACTCCATGAATGTATATGTCAAAATACATTCTGTCATTATAACTAAAAAGAACAAATAAAAAAAGAAAGAAAATCTCCCTTCTAGGTTTAACTAGCCTACTATTCTAACAGATCAAAAAATAATGTGATATAACATCCAGATCTCCTGGGTAAGTATGTTTTTAGGTAGGTAATGAACTGCTTTCTCCCTTTCAGCCAGCTTGAGTTTTTGTTTTGTTTTCTTGTTTGTCCAAGTGGGTCAGTAAAATATGACACATCTATTTATTTCATTTGTTCCCAATGAACAACAAAGGAATGTATACAAACTTCTGAGAAAAGCCTCAACAGGTAAATTTCTTTCAAACATAAGTGAATATAAATAACAGGGACTTTTCTTTTATCCTGTACCACTTTTCCACTCATATCCCTACACAGGTGATATCTCCTTGCCATTCAAGTCTCACTTCAAGTGTCACCTCCTCGTGAGGCTTTTCTGAGAACTCTATCTAGTGGAGGCTGGCCCTGTTCCCACACCTCCAGGGCTTTCTCCTTTATCTGTCCTATCCTCTCCATAGTCCTCCTCCTTAGGTGAAAGGATCATACTGATTTACCCATTTTAAGATCACATGCCCTCCACCCAAAGTGTAATAAGCTCCAAGAGAACAACACTTTTGTTGTTCCCTGATGCATTGCCAGCACCTAGAGGATCTCTGACTGGTACCCAGGCATACTCAGTGAATGCTCAGGAAATAAATTTTGAATTCTTTTTTCTTATGAAATATTAAAATTTGTAGGTAATCAAACCTATCTTCACATCAACATGGCATGTGTCCCATCTTTCTTTAAATATCATTGAGTTAAGGACATTTAACTCTAAAATTAGTAAAGAAAACTAAAAAATAAAGCTGTAAATTTAAAACAACTGCTCTTCCAAGATGACAGACATAAAATATAAATGTCCTTAGTTACATAACTTGTTATAA